AGAGAGGGGAGGGGGTGAGTGCTCGGGTGCCTGGGTTCCCTAGGAGCGGGTGGGGGCTGGAGAGTGAGAGCTAGGGAGTCGGGGGCCTGGATGCTTGGCCCTGCACTCCAAAGCACATATTGGGACCATACCAAGCCCAGACACTAACGGGGGCACCAGCAGCATGGCAGGCGACTGCGTAGGTGCTGAGGCTCGTGCAGAGGGGCTCTTCCGGCCCCCAGGAGTTGCACAAGTTGAAGTGACAGGTCCAGGAGAATTGCGTGACGGGCATCGGGGCCTGACACTGCCTGTGGGGGCAGGGGACAGCAAGGCCAGTACCCCTCACTCCCGACAAAGCCCCATCTCCTACGCCCCAATACACCTCACACCCATCCTGCAGCCCCCTCCACCCCACGCTACCCCACTGCCCCCGAGTCCTGACCCGCAGCCACCACCAAAGACCCCATCAGGGTCCAGCAGCTGCCCACTACTCTCAGGTCCTTCTGTCTTGTCCAAGATCTCGCATCTGCAGTCAGCAATGATCTGCCTCCCAAGCTGGCACATGGCAGGTGGGCAGGGACCTCCCAGTGCTCCAGCATCTCCCAGTGCCCAAAAGTTACCTCCCAGTCCCCTCCCAGAAGCACTCACAGCCTTCAGTGTCCCCCAGTAAAGAGCCCAGTAACCTCCTATTAGCTCCCCAGTATCCACCAGGGCCTCCCAGTACCCTCCCAGGCAGACCCATTAAACAGCCCAGCTCCTCCAGTAACCACCCAGTAACCTCTCAATAGCCCCCCAGTGCCTTCCAATTCTCCCAGAGGATGAAGAGGTACTCAATTGGGGGGGCACTGGGGCTCCATGTGCTGAGCGCCAGAGCACTGTCATGGCCCTCATAGATCCCATCCAGGCAGCACTGGTCATTCCTGGGGTCTCCATGAGTGTCACCCATGGGCCCCACAGCTGCCAGGCCACTATGCTGGGACAAGCGGAGGAGGGAGGGGTTGTGCACCGGGCATGCGGTACCCCAGCAGGGGGAAAGGCCTGCAGCGTGGGATTGAGAAGAGACCAGCAGGGCTGGGAGGGGGCGGCTGCACCAGATCTGCAGGCTGCTGACCCCATCCCAGCCCTCACTCTGTCCCCAGTGAGGTGAAGACGGCAGTCCAGGAACCAGCTGCTAGGCAGAAGTGGGGGCATCCCCCACAAGCTGTTTACCGGCCAACAGCCACAGCTCCCCAGTATCCTCCCAGTACCTTGAAGGAAGCCTCAGTAACCCTCAGCCCCCCACTTGTCCCAGCCAGTGCCTCCAGTATCTCCCAGTATCCTCCCAGTCCCTCCCAGTACTCTCACCAGGACACAGCACCTCCAGCACGCGCTGACAAGAGCACCAGGCAGCTGTACCATGGCCACACACAGCTGGGAGCTTCAGCCCGTGGTCCCCTTGTTCTCACCCTTGACCAGGAACCGTGGTCCTGCTGGACAGGTGAACATACATGGGCTTGAGTGGTAAACATGGAGCTGCCCCAGCGCCCCCGCCAGCCAGCCAGCTCCCACCCCCCAACTAACACAGGAAGCTGTGACCTGACAGTCACAGAAAAGCCACCAGCCCAGAAACACTAAAGCAGCTGCCAGCTACAGCCACGTCCCTAGGCTGCAGCTGCACCGAGGACCGCACAGGACACCCACCACATCCCTGACATCTGCTGTGCCCAGCACAGACACCGTGACAGGGCCCAGCTGGCATCCAGACCCCACACGCTGCAGTGACCAGCTAGAACAGAGTGAAAAATCCCCTTTCCCATTCCTGGTACTTGCCACCTGCTTCTCACATGGCATCAAGAACAAGGGCCAGCAGCTCTCGCAGCCTGCGCTCGCAGAGTGTACGACCAGGGAAGGAACACGCCCAAACCCCCTACTTCTCTTCTGGGCCAGAAGCCTTGTCTACCACTTCTCCCAGCTGCACTCTCAGTCCAATACAACATGTCCAAACAAAACAGATCCTTCCCTGGACCATCAGAATTGCACTTATCCGACCCGACTTCTGCTTCAATGCAGCCCACAAACAGCTGCAGCAGACACGACTCAACACAACTGATTCTTCTTGCTACTTAGCTCTGGCATCACTTCCTTCTTCCCCAGACACGAGCAAGGCCTCTGAAATATGCAGCTGGTCCAGCATAAGCCATCGCCAAAGACCTGGCTTCACATACATGTCTTGGACCATCCCGCCCAGAGCTACACTCCAAGCCTGCTACCACACAGAAGTACACCTAAGCAATGGGACACTGGCATGGAGGCGAGAAGTGCAAGAGCTCACCACCACAAATACATCATGTTAGGAACCTGCCCATCATTGCAGGACCAGATAAATGGCTCTCATGCAGCTTCAAGTGACTAAGGGCTGAGGCAAGCACTCCGAGCAGATCTGGTTTCAGGCAGCAAAGGGTGAAGGAGATTCCCCAGCAGACACTGTCCTCCACAAGCCACAGGCTCCAGCTGCTCAGTCAGGGCCTGCCCTAGGGCCAAAGTCCCTGGGAAAGCCCCTGGCTGGGACCCAGCCTCAGTCCCCTGTGAATGCAGGAAGGTTGGGAGGAGCTGCAACACCCATGTTACCTCCTGCCACCCTGGGAGCCAGGGCTCCAGCAGTCTCAGAGCTGAGGGGCAGGGGACAGGCCACAGAGCCCCATTTCTGAGAAGGATGCAGGACATGTCCTGGAGGTTTGCAATCACTGCTTCTGCCTGACAAGAGGAAAGGTGGTGGGGAGGGAAAGGAGGGAGAGGGGTAGGATGGGATCCAGGGAGGAAAAGATGCACAGGAGGCTGCTCAGTGGAGAGGGTGGAGGCATGAGGCAGGGGGACAGGCATCCTGGGCAGCTGTGGGAAGGGCTCCAGGCACTGGGGGCAGCAGCACTGCAAATCCCAGGCCCATGCCTCCCAGTTAAATCCCAGGAAGGCTGTGGAGCCTTTGCAGGTGAGATTCAAATGATTAACCTGACTCTTTTCCCAGGCTCTGGCCTCCCCTCCTGCAGCACCAGGACTGCCCTGCTCTGCTCCCTTCTCCTCCTGCCCTGGTCCCACTGCTCATCTTAATCAGCAGATTCAGAGCAAGAGCTAGTGCTCTGCTTCCGCCTGTGGCTGCTCCTGCCTGGCCTAACTAAAAGGTACCTGAAACCCCACGGCCTGTCTCTCCTTGACACGGACATGTTGGCAGCAACTGCAACCATCCTCCCAGCATGGGGACTGTGGCACAACTCCACGCTGAGGCAGTAGGAAAAATCCTGAGGAGTGAGTCATAGTCACATGCATGATTCCTGTCACCTTCTCATGACCCATCGAGGGGCTCAGGGTCCTACGCAGACTTCAGCACTTCTTTGTGAGGCGGAAGCAGGCACCATCCTACTGCCCGTCACCACTATGGACTAGACACCGCAGCTCTCCCGGCCTCCCAGCCACTGCTGCCACAAACACGGGGTAGTGGGGTGGGATGCAGCTTTGTGCCTCGTGCTTCTTCAGGACAGGCGCTGCCCACTCTTCCTGCCATAGCAGCAGCCTCTGCTAATGTGCCAGGCTTAGGGAGAGCTCCAGGTAAGGCACAGCCAGAACCACTGGCCCCTGGGCAACCACAGGCCAAGCAATCATCCTCCAGCTCCGTCCTGGGCACACACAATGAGTCAGACCCCAGCCATGGCCCATCTCACTCCCTGAGCCACAGGTGTTGCAAGAGCTCGACCCCAGGATTATTCCCCTTTTGTCATGGCTTTACTAAGAAAAGAAACCATTTCCCAGAAGACAGATGGCCCAAAAGACAGCCATTCAGCTCCCGAGAGCTCCGAGGAAGGATTCCAGGACACTTGGCCGTGACGTGCCTGCCTGAGATTGCCCCCCACAGCCAGGTCACATTTCAGATACAGCTCTGCAGCCCAGCAACCATCTAGGACTTGGCTTCTCAAGTAGCCTGAAGGCATTAGGGAGCTGCCATTGAGCTGCATATGGGCCCCAGGGAATAGGGTGCCTCCACCTGCCTAGATACATATGTAGCAGCGTTAAAAGTGGACCCACCTGAAGGAGTAGGAAGGGCTGTCCTGCAGAGGGACAGAGTGCCAAGAGACAGAGTTCGTCCCAGTAGGGACATCGTTTGCCCTGAGTGCGAGTGAAGCTGCTTTGGAGGTAGCTCTCTTGGAAGTGGGAAGGGCGATGTAACCCCATCAGGGTTTGAACGAGAGACCTGCGGGGCAGGACAAGTGAGGAGCTGCTTGTGAGGAGTCTCCAAGCTTGGGAAGACCCTCCTGCAAGCCCCTGTGTGGCTGGGTGAGCACAGCAGGGGAGGGGGGCGCAGGGCCAGGGGAAGAGGCTGGAGGCTGCCCTGGTTTTTTTCCCTGTGAAAAGGCACCGGGGAGGGGCTGCATTTGCTGGGTGCTGAGAGGCTGTGCTGGGCAGGGGAAACCCCAGGGCCCTCATTGTGTGGGTCCTCCCCACCATGCCAATACTTCTGCCCCTTTGCTGTGCAAGTCTTGGCTCCCATGATCCTTCCCCCACCAGTCTGCCCCTGCTGCAGCTCACACAGCATCTGCTGAAGGGTGGGGAGGAACAAGATGCTCCCCATGCCCTCACCACACATCCTTCTCCTCCTGCCTGCAAGGCCCAGCTGCCCATCATTTACCTTCTCACTCTTTTTAGCCTCTTCCCTACCGATTCCCCTGCCACTGCATGGAGGAAATGGCAAGACATGCTCAACACCACCCTCCAGTCCGCTCCACGTGTTACCTTCTTGCTCTAAATCCTCTGGGTCCCACTCTTCTGTTTTCCTCCCACGTCATCCACTACGTCGCTGCAGTCACACTGTCGTCACTACCTTAGTGAGACTGACAGGAAGCCCTTCCCTGCTGTGCACCCAGCACAAGCCTATGAATAAGGGACTTGCTTGGGAAAGGTCCTGACCCCTCATGCCCAGATGACTGCAGGGAACACATTTAAATTTTCCACTGACCACACAGAGGCAGAAATGCTAGGCTCAAAGGCGAGGCAGGTGAAGTACGGCACAGTACAACACTTTATTAGTCCACAGTCATCCCATCACCCAGGCAGTGAGGTTGGATGAGGAATCCATGTACACACATGCACTGGCACCCATCCTTTGCAGGGCCTGTCTCCGCTGGGTCATGTCAGTCCTTCCTCTGCAGCAGGGAGTACTCTCTATGCACCTGCACTCCAAACACAGGGGACCCTTGCCAAGGGAACCCACCTGCTCCCTCCCCCTTGTTCAGGCTGCAGCCTCCCTTCCTCCCCATCCCCACTGCTATTCAGCAGGGAAAGCACACAGAAGCATGTCTCAGTATCATGTGTTTATTGAGCTGGGCTGGGTCATTGGCCAACAGAACCAAAAGAGCTCTCAGCTATGCCCAGACCCACCACCACGGAGGACTCAGCCATGGGCAAGTCCCTAGTGTGTAAGAGCTGTGTTCATACCCTGAAGGAGAAGAGCAGCTGGGCTTCAGCAATGCTGTGCTCACTGGGGGATGTCAGGAAACAAGTCTGAGAGCCTCCTTGGAGGCTGTGGTCACTGCTCCTACCAGGAGCTCCCCCGAGTGCCCCCCCAGCCTTCCCCAGCACCTCTTTGGGATTCCATTCTGGCCCAGCCTGACAAGCGGGAGGACATGTCAGTGCCCCACAATGGCTGGCACAGCACAGCTCATCTGAGACCCGCTGCTTCCCTTCCCCTGGAAGAGAAGGGGGTCTCACATGCCCAGGACAGCTCCAGGGACAGAGCTATGCTCTGGCTGGAAGTGTTGGGGTGTGGCAGGCCTGAGGCAGGCGTGTGGGTTCACTGCCAGGCCCGTGCCTGACTCAGTGCATCTATTTCCTCCTGGCTCCGCAAGTACTGCTCTATCTCGCTATCTGGAATGGGCTCGTCTCCGGTGACATCAGGGGCTGAAGGGTCCGGGCTGGCTGCTCGGGGTCTCTTCTTGGGATGCAGGAGGCATGGTGGAAGCAGAGGTGTCTGCGCACTGCGGCAGGTCCCAGCTGTGGAATGGCCCTCAGGCTGCCCTACACTCTCCACCGCCTGCAGGCTGCTGCTCCCACTAGCCCCCTCAGCTTCCTCACCCCCGTCCTCTGCATCTCCTGCCCTGAAGGAGCATCTCAGCAGGAAGGACCTGTGCTGAAGCAGGTCCCCGATGTGCTTGACCACCGTCTTCTTGTCCACGCGGAGCACCCGCAGCCAGGCCAGCTGGGAGGCCATTCTCAGGAGTATTTCTTGAAGTTCCTTCAGTCTCAAGTGGGCCGGCGGAGGGAGGTCCGTGTCTGCCAGCTTGCAGAAGCGAGAGAAGGTGCAGGTCAGGCGGCCACCAGGCTGCAGTGACTGCCATGCAAGGTAGGCCGCTGCCGTGACAATCGGGATGGGGTGTCGGCCCGTCACCAGCCATGTCTTGCTGGCCAGCTCCACCAGCTGGATCGTTCGTGCCACCATCTTCTCCTTGTCCTCAATAAATTTGGCAGGGACCGTAGTCGAACTCTGGAATAGCTTGAAGCTGGAAGACCAAAAAAAGACACTAATTGCTGTGACAGACCCCAGGCAGAGAACTGGAAGCCACTCAGAGCATGAGTCCATGTGGCTGCCAGAGCAGGTCATCCTGATACAGCAGCAATTCCACCCACCCAACTGAGGAGGCCAGTGTGTGGGCCACTGCCAGGACCTATCTGACAACTATCTACCTAAATGACAACTATCGATGTCTCTTCTCTCATCCTCTTGCCAGAGGGGTTCTTAGTCTGAGGCAAGTGGGGGGCAGGGGGGCAGTTTTTAGCTGTAATTCAGCCCTTCTGAACCTAAGTACTTGGGGGATAGATTCCCATGACAGCATCTGGGCACCAGCTGTGACACAGGGCCGAGGGTCTAGTCTCAGGGGAACTGGCCCAGCCTTCTCTTTGACACAAAGCAAATAAGCAAAGTGGAGCTCTGCAGAGAGAGCCCTCTGCTGTGCCAGGGTGAGTGTCAGGGGATGCATCCCAAAGGAACCAGGGCTCCCTTGGTACTCTCAGCCCAGGTGGCATTGCCCATTGCATGCACAGGTCCTGCCTTGCACCCAAAAGGCGACTCGAGGGGTGTCCAGCCATGTGGGATTCCCAAGCCCCATGGATCCTGCAGGAAGGAGGATGTCAGTTCCATTACCCATTGAGATGCGTTTTCACCAGATCCATCAGGCTCAGGGCAGGCACATCCAGCTCCAGCTCCTTCAAGACATGCAGGTACACACTGGTAAACAGTTCCTTGTCCGCATACAGCAGGGAGCAAATCGTTCCCATGGTCACAGGCCAGTTGTGCTGCCGGCAGGTCACACAGACACAGCAACCCACCAGAACCTCCTTCTTCTCCAAGCTGACTAAGTGGAAAGAGGGGTGCTTGATTGCACGCTGGAAATAAGACACGGCCGTCTCTTCAAACACAGGTGGGAGCTGGAGGACTTTGCACAGATCCTGGACACGCTTGATCCCTGCAAAAGAGCGCACCCTGTCAGCATCTGCATGAAAAGGGTCTCTCTAGCTCCTTCAGCCCAGGCCAGATGTCAGCTAATGGCCACCTGGCACTGCCAGGCCTAGAACCAGGGGAGCTTCTCAGCTGAGCGAGAAACAGAAGTGCAATTCACATGGCAGCTTCCCCCTGGCAGGAACATGACACCAAGTCCCACATGTCTCAAAACCAGGAACCAGTTCTCACCTCGCTGTTCACAGCGGCTCAGCTGCTCCTTCTGGCCCGTGCTCCATGAGTATGTCACCTCTGCAAGACAAGCATCAGGCAAAGCAGTCACATCAGTGAGTAGAAGACAAGGTCCACAGTTAGTGCCAGACAAATAGGGATGGAAAGCTGGAAAGCGAAGCACTGGGGGGGCTATTCTCTTCACATCTCCAAAGGTGGCACCAGCAGCACCTGTTCCCTTCACCAGCTCCCTGACAATACAACTCAGCCCTGAACTGATAGGATAGGGTGGAAAAGGAGTTGAGTCAACCTGACTCCTCCTCTTCTGCACCTTGCCAAAGAGATCTCAGCAAACAGTGCAATCCCAGACCTATTTATATGATGGAAGTGATATAGTACAGTAAAGCAGATCACCAACTTATGCTGAATTTCACTGCTGCCAAATAGGCCTTCACATTTGAGATTCATAGAGATCCCACACTACAAACGCATTTGGGGATGTATTTCCTCGGCCAGGGGGACAGCTGACAGCAGGAGAGCTACAGCTCTGATTCCATTCAGCCTGCACCCATCTATACAGTGGTAGCCTGCTCACAGTCCAATGTGTTATAGGTGCTGAATTAAAACTAGCAAACATGGGTTAGTCTAGAGGGAAAAAAGGAGAGACCCTGAGACTTGACCACAGATACTTTAAAGGAACATGTCCAAACTGACTGAGCTTTCTAAAAAAAACCCAACAAAAAACCATATATCACAGTTGTGTATAGGGTAAAGCCATATGTAAGGACCCACAGGATGTTTTTCCCTATAGACTTTTACTAAAACCAGTTTGAGAAGCCAGTCACAACATGGGCATAGAGTCCTAGATGCTCAGGTCAGAAGGGACCAGATCACCGAGTCTGACCCCCTGCCCTGGGCGATTTACAGCTGTGTTGACAGGAGCCAGCCTTCACCATGGGTCCGAAAGAGGGATCAAACTCATAGCGAGATGCCCTAACTTCGTAGTCACCATGGCTTAGGCCTGACAAGATGTGGAGGAGGAGAAATTCATAGATGTTTGGGTTGGACGGGACCTCAACAGACCATTGAGTCCGACCCTCCGCCCTGGGCAGGAAAGAGCGCTGGGGTCAGATGACCCCAGCCAGATGCCTATCCAGCCTTGTCTTGAAGACCCCCAGGGCAGAGGAGAGCACCACCTCCCTTGGAAGCCCATTCCAGATTTTGGCCACCCTTACCATGCAGAAGTTTTTCCTGATGTCTAGCCTAAATCTGCTCTCTGTCAGTTTGTGACCACTGTTCCTTTTTTCTGGGGAACAGAGCATCTCCAATCCCTTGCTGCGCCCCCCTAATGAATGTGTAGGTGGCCACAAGATCACCTCTCGGCCTTCTCTTGAGGAGGCTGAAGAGGTCCAGGCACCCTAGTCTCTCCTCATAGGGCTCGGCCTGTAAGCCCCTAACCATACGAGTGGCCTCCTCTGGACCCTCTCGAGTCTATCAACATCCTTCCTGAAGCACGGCGCCCAAAACTGGACGTGGTACTCCAACGGTGGTCTGACCAATGCTGCATAGACGGGAAGTATCGCCTCCTTGGATCTATCTGTCATGCATCTGCTGATGCACGATAAAGTGCGGTTAGCCTCGCTGATGATTTCGACACACTGACGACTCGTGTTCATTTTGGACTCCACGATGACTCCAAGATCCCTGTCCGCTCTGTGCTGCTGAGAGGGTCACTGCCCAGCCCATACAACACAACGTCACAGCACCACGAACCAGGCCGTGACACTGACCAGTCCTGCCATTTTTTGAACTACAAACAAAACAGTTAGCTTTCCAGCAGTAGATATTTTTGGTTAAAGATTCCTCCAAGGTTTGGCTCAGAACAGAAGTTGGGAAGTTTCCATTTAAGGAAAACACAACAGTTTTTAGCAGATTTTTCTTGCACTGCTCCAGCTGAAGCTCTCGCTGTTACCTGCTCAAAAAAACCACCAACTCCCCACGGGCCGCAGCCACGCGGGTATTTGCAAGTTGGCATTTGCTTGCTAATGGGCAGACGACTACGGTGGCATCGCTGCGTGTTGGACAAAGCCCAGAGAAACAGCAGGCCCGTGCAGCAGCGCGAGCCCGCGGGAAGTTGTGGGTGACGGGCAACTGTTTCTGACAAGACACCCGGAGGAGATTCCCTTCTTCCCCCTCCCTGCACAAGTCAGTCTTTCCCTCCCTGAGTGGCACGATGACGCCCTTCCCCTGCCTGATCTGCTGCTCCGCTTTCTGCTCCCCGCCCGCCCTACCCCGCAGCTGCTGCTCCTGCGCGGGGGACCCCGCGCAGCGCTGCACCCGCCCGCCCACTTCCGGTCCCTCCCGGAAGTGGCTCCGGCCAGCAGCCGCGACCCCAGTTCCCGCGCGTTCCGCCCTCGCCTCTGGCCCCGGCCCCAAGCGTGTCCCGCTTGGTCTGCCTGGATCCCAGCTGTCCCATGATGATTCCCCCCCTCTTGGGAGATCCTGTGCGTGCGCTGCTCCTGGGCAGTGCCAGGATCATAATGCCCCAGCCAGATATCTATCCAGCCTCCTCTTGAAGATATAGGGTATGAGACACCATTAGGTAGCGGGCAGGTAAAATGCAGAAGAGATCAATGGAAGAGCATGCCCGTTCAAGAGAGCTGCTATCACTTGCACAGCACTGAGCGGGGGATATCGCCTAGGTCAGGGGTGCGGCCACCAGCCCGTTCTAGCCCCTACAACAATTTAGAAAATTAATATTTATCTGCCCCCAGCTGCCTGTCATGCAGCCCTCGTTGGCTGGCCAAAACTCACTAAGCGGCCCTCCGTCCAAAATAATTGCCCGCCCCTGCCTTAGATAACAATGAACCACAAAGTCAACATCTGTGTTAAGTCTGTGGTTCTTGAGTCTAGCGAGCCAATTATTATTCCCCCCACCCCAAAACCCGACTTCTGAAAGCAATGTATAAACTTCCCTTGAGCGTCAGGACTCGAAGTTCAGAAAGGAAGTGGTTTTCTATTTTTTAAAAATGCACTAGTAGCGCAGTCCCTTCCTTTGTTTCTGACCGTTCGTTCTTAGAAGTAGGTTGTGTCTAGTTTCACTGTTTCCAGGAGGGTCCTGCTGGTGTACCGGGTTAGTTTATACCACAGCCAGCTTGATCCATGGATTCGGAGGGTTTTGTTGGTGGTGCGAGGGGCAGTGGGTGGTGGGGTAGGACAGGGTGCTGCTATGTGGGGCAGTTGAGATTAGTTGTTTAGCTTTGCATTTTTCCTCAAGACAGCATAGGGTCCCAGTA